TTGTAATTAACGTTAGTCGATATCGTGATTTTTTTTACTTCTTTTGTTCCTTTTTTAGCGCGGCACATTTTGCCATATGAATTACGCGCGATGAAAGAATTGCGAAAAATGAAACTCAATTACGAATAATTATAGAGTGGCGTATATTCTCGGTCGCAAACACCCCGGGCGAATCTTCCGCAGTGTCTCTGTGTCCGCCGCTCGCGAATAAGCCTCTCTCATGACGGCGACCATGTAAAATCCAGAGAAAATACTCGGGGAAAGCGGCCCGGTAATTAAACTACTGTACCGTGTTTGCGCAGAGCGTACATACGTCGCAAAGAATATACGACGGCCATAATGGTATCGCGTAAGCTGCGAGACGCGCGACTCTTTTCATCAGCCAATATATTTCCTTCGCAATAGCGGAGCCGTAGGCTATATATAAAAATATCTCTGACGATAACGAAAAATTATTCGGCCTTATTATTCGTTGGAAAAACAAAACGCCCTTCGTGATTTGTCTATCACTCATTTTTCTCAGTTTTGTCATTCATCAAACATTTAACATTTTGCCACATCTTAACATATCAAGTTCGATAAAATTGATCATTATATTTCGTTCATTTCTCTTTCAATTTTGTTCATTATGATTATTATATTTTTTAATCGTTATAAAATTATATTTATAAAATATGAATTTATAAATTATATTACAAAATAGGAATAGACACCACATAAATGTTAAAGTTATCGCCGACAATAATGCGTGCCTTAAACGCGGCCAACTTATTATCGGTTCGACTACTTAAAAATCAGTAAACGAAATTCGAGTACAGATCCTCGATTTGGCAACCGTTATACCCCAATTATCGTGGAAACGCGATTCCCGAATAAGTTGCGAGTAAAACGAAGCAGTCAAATGCACGATGAGAAAATGCAATTCAAACGCAACGTAATTTTTTTAATCAGTTAGCGAAATTCGAGTACAGCACCTCGATTTGGGAACCGTTATACACCAATCATCGTGGAAACGCGATTCCTGAACAAGTTGCGAGTAAAACGAAGCAGTCAAATACACGATGAAAAAATGCAATTCAAACACAACGTAATTTTTTTTTATAACTGTCAATTCTACATTAACCAGTAAGATCATGACGTATCTCGAATTGTATTATTGATGCGGCGCACTGGACTCGTAATTGGCATTCGGTAGCCCGTAAACTGCGCGAGTTTGTTTCCCGAAATGGACACCACAGCGCGTTGAAAAATACGGTTTATTATTGCCGCGAAAGCAAATGCAGTTGCCGCAAAAAGCAATATATTTTCGACGGGGATTCAACAAAGTTTCCCGCTGCGCGATTACACAAACGCGTGGATCGTTAAAATGTTTTAAAGAGAACGAAACAACGAAACAAGCCTCTTGCGCGACACTGCATCTCGAAGCACATTAATTTTCTTTTTGTTCGCACATCGATTTTCTCGCCCACGAACTTTTCAAAATTTACCTGTGAAAATTTCTACTATCCCTAAAATATATATTAAATATTACGCGAAGAACATCTGGTCCGCGGAAATTACGCTGTTTTACACACCGGTTCCTTCTTTGAATATCTCGCTCATAAAAGCACCCGGGCATTGAGAATGAAATTGGCGTCCAAGGAAAAAAATCTAGGTGCCCCTAGGCGCGATCATCCCGGCCATCTATTTCAATATTACTGCCCGCCGTAGCATTCGCAAATAAAGCGAGAACGCCAGTGGAAGAGGTCTGAAATACGACCGTCTTTAGAGAACGGAAATGTTCGGTGTACTCGCGACTGCGAGGCTCCGTGTGAAATGGCTTTCCAGCGGCCACCGTAAAAGCCAGCGAGCCCAGCTTTGAAGAACAACTGCAGCCGCCACGAAAAACCAAATGCAGCTGCAATGCGCAGCTCTCCCTCTACCGCAGACATGTCATAGCTACCTCTTCTCCTTTCCTCTGTCCCCCTTTATCGCTTTTTCACAAAAATTTCCCTAATCTAATCCGATTGTACTTTGGAAATCGCTTATTACTCTCGGAAGTTTTTGGAGTGTAAACAGAACCATGGCGTAAAAATTTCGCTCTACTGGAGAAAATATTCACCTTAATAGAGTAAATGTTTGCTCCAATAGAGTGAATATTTTACTCCATGATCCTGTTTTCACTCCAAAACTTTAGAGTACTGTAGTGTTGCGAGCGAAATGTGGCCTAGTCGCAAATAAAGCATTTAACGATCTAGTGATTGGTCTAATCTCGCGACCAACTTCTACGCGAATGAATCACGAATTATCGCGATACACCTTACGCAGCATCTGCAGAATATATACAGACAATTAAAGTTGAACGAAGTAAAGTTTAACAGACAAACCGAATTTGTTAGCTCCGATGCGTGGCTGACGAAGCGCGAATCCAAAGGAATTACAACGTAACGCGTTTAACAGGATCGCGCTTGACGTCGCAGGGTAAGTAATTCGAGACGCACAATGGCAGGTACGTTCCGTGTGCGTGTATTCTTATTGCTCAGAGGGATGATTCAGACGGGGGATGAACACGGTGGAAGAACGGGAGGGGGGAGGGGCGGCTGTTGACACAGCCGACGAAACGAGACGCGAGATGCATTATCAAGCCCCGAGATACGCATTCGTGCCCCGTCCGTATACGCGGCTTCGTTCGAGCACGCACAAATGGGCTCTTACCCTCGGCAAAGTGCAAAGCGAATGCATATTGACTCGCGACGTTTCTGTAGACCAGATTTCGCGTGAGGCGCTCGCGTGTACGCGCTGCAGATTCGAGCACCGCACCGAAACTAGTTTCTCTTATTTGTCGCTGCATCGTTAAGATGTATACACGTTAATCGTCGCCGCGGGTTCCTGTGGGTGTCTAGGCGAATCTCGGTAAACGATAATCAATTGGAGCGACTGTTGAGTGCAAATAGTCCACGAGTCCCATACGATTTTGTTTGTATTTAATTATTGTATTTCATTATTGAAGAATTCTTATTAGTTGATTATTCACCATTGACCTAAAACATGGTGTTTCCCACGCAATTGGGAAAGGGGGAGGGGGAGGGAAAGCTTAAAAACAACCCTTATCGGCACGCAGTTAAAAAAAATCGAAATAGACGCGTAGACAATGTCTTTATAGTGTTTTTGCGACAAATATTATCAATATTATCATATGCCTCGGTGGTCGAATTGGTGAGACGCCCGTCTAGAGTATAGGGAGATCCAGGTTCAAACCCTGGCTGAGGTAATGTTTTTCGCAATAAATTTTCTGTATTCTTATAAATGCCAGGTGTGTGTATGATCAAGAAAACACTGACGTTGTTAATTATCGCTGGCTACATTGAAGAATTCTTATTATTTAATTATTGTGTTCGAATCTCGCGGATGAGCTTGTTCGCCGAGAAACAGAGTCGCTGCATTTAATAGTAATTTGATCGTCTCTGTATATATTTAATCTCTAATTAAATTCTCCTTAACGTTTGGACGAAAAAGAATTTGTTAAAGGATTTACTTTTTATATATTTTTCCAATACCTACAGATTTTTTCTTCTCCCAAAAGACAATTTTTGGGAAAACTTGGGGCGATTTTACTTCTTTCGACAATATTTAATTCGAAACAATTGGAATCGTTTCTTGTTATTTGAGTTTTTAGAAAATCTGTTAGGAAGTTGTTTAAGAATTAACAAACTTTCTTCAAACGCGATTATTATACTTGATTTCTGCTCGCAAAACAAAAAACGCAGGTATGCGATTCGCTCGAAAACGGTTGCGGATTTTTCGGTAAAGTGAAAAATGATTTATATGCATGCGAGGTTAACACGGCGTAAAGAGAGTTCCGCGCTTGTTATGCAAGCTGAGCTACGTTTAAGAGCGGGTTTTATTAAAAATACCCGAGCTAAAGATAGCAAAGGGGTTGGAGATTTCTCTTTTTTCACTTTCCTTTCTACGGTTGCTCTTTCATTTCTGCTCGGAAACGCGCTAATCCGAACCGGTGATGACGGTAAATGAAAGAAGAAACACTCGGAAAGACTTTGAAATCAACACAAAGATGTAATCGACATAGTGCAGAGGATAGAATTTAATTTAAAACGATATTGATTATTTACGCACGTCTAGCAATAAACAATGTGTGAATATTGTCAATAATACAAATATTATATACTTTACTTTTGTGTTGTATCAATTTCTAAAACAAATTTCTCCGATTCTGCGATACTCGGACAAAATTTTAATAGGTAATAATAAGATAAGAACTTAACAATAAAGTCAACTGACGTGTTTTAAAGTTAAGTTCAACTATTTCATTAATAAGAAAAGGCAAATATTTTCAATTACTGCCAATGAATAGCTTTTAAATCGAGATTGCTCCGATTAAAACTGATCAATTCGTAAATTTTACTCCTTTTTCATGCTTTCCCGTCTATCCGAGTATTGTATTCCGTATCCTCTTTTTCTTCGCAAACTCTAACGTCGCGGATATTACGAAGCGTCTCGGTGCCGGTGGGAAAGTGAGCCGCCAAAGAACCACGCGACAGCTCCTCGCTCGGCTCGCCTGGGGTTTTTAATTTGTCGTGCAACAGCCTGTACAGCATACCGGCCTGTGAAACTCGAGTTTTTCGGAACGTGGGACGCGAAAGGAGCGGACATGCGCTGTAGATATACGAAAGAAATATCGAAATGGGCGCCATATCACGTGCATGTCGCGCACGAAAGAAAATCGTCGTTTCCCTCGAGTGCTCGCTTAACGGATTTTCCCGGTCTATTTTCCTCATAAACGGCATCCGTTTTTTCATGCGAATAATTAAATATCGTATATAGCGTTGTTTTAAATCATGTATCGTGATGTAGTAATTGAGATGTTACTGGAATTAAATAAAATGTAAATACATGCTTGGTATTTTCATTGTATCTAATTCCAGTTCTCGAGATGCTTGTTGGAAGGAAACTAATTGACGAGAGGACATGAACATTTCGGACATGAACGGTCGAGCACTTACTTGTACGGAAGAAGCACCGCCGTGAAGTTGATGGCGATGGAGATTCGCGGGCCAGATGTGATCAGGTACCGGCAGCGGATGTTCGGCGGATACAGCCCAGGATATCCGGGACTGGCTAAAATGCATCCGTCGTGGCAATCCATGTCTTCGTACACCGAGTCGCATTCTGCAAACAAGAAGAAATATACATCAGTAACTTGAAACTCCTCTCCTTTCTCCTCTCTCCTGTCTTTCTCTCTCACTAGTTTCAGAAATTTGTCTCTTTTAACGTTGCTCACATATATCATGTATGTTTACTGCTCTATATTTTCTATTACTATTTTCAAATCGTGTACTGCATAGCCTGAAGGTGGGACTGAAGGCGCGAACAGTTGTGAAGCTTCGGAGCTGATTGCAAAACAAAGAGTGTATTTTCAGATTCAACTTTTTTATAGTAGGTGGCTCCTGCACGAAGGAGCGATTAGTAAGGGTGCTTTGGTGGAGCCTCTTTAATTTTTGTAAATTCATATGACTTTTTTCATAAAAAAATATCACTTAATGCATTATTGATCAAATGCATAGATACGCTAGATTACATCTGCACATTTAAAAACATATTTAAAAATATGTGATATTGTCAAGTCTCAAAGAGCTGTCAAATTTCATTAAAACTTTGTATCTTTTGACTTTAATAATAAGTATTTGCTTAGAGGTCAGTAACCTCGTATACTTAATAGCACATTTGAATCCTTGTGACGTTTATTATGTTCATCTCGCTTTTTGTTAACATCTACTTTTTCGATAAAATAATATCAACCTTCAAAGTGCTTCTGCGAGGACTCGGCCCGTAACCCCTATCGCAGTGAACACCAAGTAATAGTTACATAATATCAATATTATAATTTCCTACTTAACAATGGAAATGCAATATAACATGGGTGTTATATTACATTTATCTTGTTGAGTAGAAAATTATAATATGGATGTTATGTATAATGACTGTTACTCGGTGTTTACTGGAATGTTAAATAATACAACTTTAACATTTTCTTCTTTATTTTATTTCATCGGCGACCGGGTCTGAAATTTCGCGTACTGATAGATAAAATTTACAACTATAACATACTTAAATTTCAATTTTTTCTACTTTTAGTCGGTTTATGCAGGAGCCACCTTAACTTTCTTAGAGGGCTTGATCTTGAATATTAATAAGCTCTCTCTCTCTCTCTCTCTCTCTCTCTCTCTCTCTGCACTGAAAAAAAATTCTCGCTACCGTAACTAATCATGGTGTACTAAAAATACGTTGCTACCAGAACTATATATTTCTAAAGCACAGCAAACGGTTTGCTGTCGCACCTAATACAGGGCAGTGCACCGTAGCAAAATATTTAGCTATCACAACTAAATATTACTGTCCATATTTTACAACTAAAATTTAGTTGCCACATGCAGTTTTTAACTACATGCAGCTACATTTTTCTTTCCGTGTGTACCAATTCTTTTGTACACATATATAAGGCTCCTTTATATTCGTTAACAAAATTTTATTAATTAATATATTACTACTTCTTTAACAATATTACTTCTTCTTCAGGAAAAACGTAAAAGATGTTTTCTCATGTTTTCCTCCAATTATCGGAAACATCCATAAATAAACGTATTTTAAGGCTAACTTTTAATAGTTAGAGATTTTAATATTAATTCAGAGCATATACTAATACGCTGTACCGCTAATGACATTTTTTCTATAAGCTCATCAAGGCGCAAATAATCATTGAACGCTATCAGTTAAAGCGACGGTCCACCTTAATTTCCGGCTGTCCGACGGGCGAGCTTTGCGAGCGCGAACGATTTGCCAAAAGAGTGAAAATAATTGATACGTCTGGCGGCTTCATGAAAAATTCGAAAAGTGGAAAATGGGCAGACGTGTCAACGACAACACACGCTGGCCAATTAGCACGAGTTAACGAGATATCTCGCATCCGGCTCACATGATTCTCTCAATTAATATTTTCGTGACTCCGCTCGAAATATTGCCTACTAGGTCGAAATATTGCCCGTATGTTATAGATTATTATTCGATATACAACAATACCAAATGCAATACCAATTTAGTCACGGGCCACGAGTTTGTAGCATGTAAATAACTTGCATTTCCATTTCGATGATAATTACTGTATGCGACATTATGTAAATTAAATTAATGCTTGTACATATATTGTATAAAAAATAGAATAGTACAATATTATATAAAAAATAGAATAGTAACTAATAGTACTGTAAAGGGAGAAAAAAATTGATAATTTATAACTTGTAAATTTTATAATGCAAATCCGTAAATGCATCAAATACACGCGCATTTATAATTGATTTACTTTATAGGGGGTCAATCCTTTAATAGACTGAACGTATACCTCACATATACAAACATTATAATGATAAATTCAACGTAGGTATATTTGATACTGATTTATACCATTCATCATAAGTCGGAATATGCATTATTAAACAATATCCGCATTATGCGAAAATATTGAAGCTCAAAGCTATTTTCGAATAGGCAAATCAATGCGTGCGTACCGATTGTTGTAATATTCAAACGATGATTGACAAACCGTTATGCGTCCAATTATTCCACTTTCATAACGTATGCAAACACGTGATTTCCATAAACGCATAATATACTCGTATTTATTACTGCCAGCTGCATGCGATTGCGAAAAAGGCATTAATATCGCTTTAATATCACAGTGATACATGAGGTTTGTTTAATAGTACGGATACACCTTTATCTTTACCAAGTTGAACAAGACTACAAAGGGTTTTGGCGAATGTTTTTGCGTACGACTATCTCTATTTGCAACTCGCGTGTGTTAAAAGTACTTAAAACAGTTGCCGTTATTTTCCCTTTCGCAAAAAAGAAGAAGAAGAAAAAAAACGCGCGGTTTGATCTTCCTCCTCTTCTCCTTCTCTTTGCTTAGTTTTATAGTTCCGGGTGTATGCAATTGTCATAACGAGCGGATCCATTAGACATGGTACGCGTCCATCTTCTCGGGTATACGGTTTTTTTTTTCAATTTATATAGTGCCCTTTGCATCTTCGCCGCTTCGATCCCCCTGTGCAAGCCGCTCCTTCAACCACTTCCACCGTAAACGGCCCCGCCCTTTTCGCTTTTCTACCTTAAAACACGGAATTTTCTTGGTCCTTCATTTCGTGTCCTCGAGGCGTTCTTCGTCTAAGATACGGACCCTTTTTGCAGCATCGATTGAATCGCTTACGTTCGATTAAACCGGGCGAAAAAAGTATAACGACGGCGCGCCCGAGTCGCTAATTTATTTGATAATAAGCGCGGCGAAGTTGGTACTAACTTCTTAGGTACTGCGCGATCAATCGGATGATAATTGAATCGTATAGTTAATGGGCGTCAATTGTTTGGCTGTTAAAAAAGCTCTCGAGCTCGTTAATTGTACGTGTAATTGAAAGAGTATCGAGTTTTATTAACCGAGCGTTAGTTTGCTCGGAAAGTTGCCTCGTTAGCGTGGACACGGCTCAAACGGATACACCGGTAACCGTGCTAATGACATCAAAGGAAAAGTTTCACGACACTCACTACTGCATGATATAAATATAACTGCGATACCGGTAGGTATTATTCGCCGGCCTTGTCACTCTCGTGCAACAGCGAATATTAACAAAAGAATGTTTTACACGATTTAACAGGCAGAAAAATTAAACTTCGATAAGTAAAGTCAATCTAAAAAAATGACATTATCTAGTTGCATTGCTTTGTAGCAGGGCTTAAACTCGCCGAGTAAGCAAGCGTAAAGAAAAGGGATACACAGCTACATGTATTTCTGCGCGATAACACACTAATGCAAACGTCGTCAGCCGATTCTTCGTAAAGCGAGCGCAATTGCCATGTTGGAGGAGGTGCCTCTACCGAGAAACTCACTTCCCGCTTGTGCCTTTAAGTGCGCAAAGGTGAAATGCTTTAATACGGCGATAGAAGGGAGGAGAGAAAGTGAGGACTCTATGTAAATGCCCGCAGAAGACGCGCGAAGACTTTCCTTCGCGGCGCGCCGTAACGAACCCGAGGCGGAAATGCTGCGAGGAAAAGAAAA